AGACCAGTAATCCAGGGGTGCTGGTGGAAAATAAAATAAACCTGATACACGCAGACACACAGCTGTGTAAAAGATTCAGGGTTTGGCAGCTCTCCTTCTCCTCCCTTGGCAGGGCCAATGTGGGTCCTGCTGGGCATTCAGCTCGGTGGGCGCTCTGGAGGGGCAGCTGAAGAAGAAGACGGGCAAAGTACTTAATCTGAGCCCCCAAAATCTCGTGGACTGCGTCACCAGCAACAGCGGCTGCGGTGGGGGCTACATGACCAACGCCTTTGAGTACGTAAAGGAGAACCGGGGAATCGATTCGGACGTCTCTTATCCCTACATCGGCCAGGTAGGGGGCCTGCCTCCCGTTTCAACCAGCATTGCCTTTCAGGCGGAGAGGGGTGGCTCCCCAAGATGTCTCGCGGCCACAGATAAAATACCCCAAATAATTTTGTGCCACCAGAATGGAGAAAATACAGAGCCGTTAAAATGCCGGTGGCAACTTGGTTTCCATCGTGGCAAATTGGAAAAACAATGGGGGAGCCATTGCCACATTCCAACGGTCATCTCAATTAATTTAATTAAATGGTGGGGGATTTGAGGAACTGGACAGAGCTTGGAGGGTGAGGAGAGGGTTCTGCTGGGAGAGGGAAGAATGGACTCAGCCTTGAAAGGATTTGACTATAAAGGAAAGAAGATCTGACATGGAAATCTGCCCTTCCACCTTCTCCGTAGGATGAAAATTGCATGTATAATCCCACCGGTAAGGCTGCCAAGTGCCGCGGTTTCAGAGAGATCCCGGAAGGCAACGAGCGGGCTCTGAAAAGGGCCGTAGCCCGGATCGGCCCAGTTGCGGTGGGCATCGATGCCAGCTTGTCTTCCTTCCAGTTCTACAGCCGAGGTGAGTCAGGAAAGAAGTCGGTTGTCGAGGCTGGGGCGACGCAGGGAAGCCATCCTGCTCACCTGGAACACGGGAAGTCACCTTGGGGGTCTCCTTCTCTTGAATCAGCGGAGCGATTTCCATAGATTGCACCCCAAAACCTTCCCCATCCTTCTGTGGACTTTAATTCGTTGCTGTTTAATTCAATGCTGTTTAATTCATTACTTTAATTCATTTAATTCATTTTCACCCATCCTGAGACATAAAGAGAATACGCTCAGGATCCGGCTGTAAAACGGAAGTTGTTTTTTTCCAGAATTGAAGGTTTTCTCTTTCTAATTTTCTCAGGGGTGTATTACGATGAAAACTGCAATGCCGGTAACATCAATCACGCTGTCCTGGCGGTGGGTTATGGGACTCAAAAGGGCACCAAGCACTGGATTGTGAAAAACAGGTATTGCTCAACTCACCTCCCATTTTATCTGATAAAATATCTTCTGGGGCACCAAACCCTGAATTTTGGTGTAGGTAACCACCGAAAAAAGCATAATGCAACTTATGCTATATGTTTAAATAATAATAAT